CAACATTTTTTATACAACTGCTGTTCTGTGAAATGTCAAAAGACAGCTGGAACTTGTCATTTCTTCTACTTGCATTCAGCTCTGCTGTATTCTCGTTTGATGTGTGCCATTCAGTGATGATTCAGGTTTTGATACATGCTTTTAAATAATATTACAGTATCCAGAATATTTTGGCAAGTAGACTAAAGGTCAATTTAGGTAAGCTTTACTGCACAACATTCAGCCAGTTTTCATTTGCACACATAGAATCCAGCATATGAGAATTGCAAAGGTTGTCGTAAAGAAGATTCTAGCAAATAGGAATTTTTTTTTCTAGATTCTTCCTTTCTTGCTATTTTACCCACACACACAATTCACTCTCCTCTTTGAGAGCTGGTGGAGGGGCTCAGGGGAGCCATCGTTCCTGTACTAAGAGCCTGGGACACATGGGCTGCATCATCCAACAGAAGGCTATATGTATCCTGACCTTGGTGAACACACATGGGCTTCCACTGGGTGATGTCTTCATCTTCTTTTAGCAGAGAAACATCCAATTTTAATTAGGCTCATTCAATTTTAATGAATGCATTGTCAGTTAAGTGTGAAAAAGTAGTGTATCATGGTAAAATGTTGTGTCTTCAGCACTGGCATGCCGAAATACAGTACTGGAAACAAGAATGACAAAAGAATACTATCAGCATGTCATATATTGATTACAACCAGTCAGCTGTTTTGTATGTTGATAATATTATAGTTTTGTTCATTATGAATAACAAAGCCCAGAAATTGAACCGATAAAGAACTGTCTCCGTGTTAGTAAAGACCAAACAGTAAGGGGTAATTGTAGAAGCAGAAGTCAGTTTGCGGAGAAAACACACACCCCTCAGAGAACACAGGCAGAGCGACACCATCTAAGCTTGTTCTATGATTTCATGCAGGATTTGGGGAGCACTGCGATGAGTCAGAGATGTGAGTATGGGAATAGAACATTCATAAATAAATTGAATGTAACTTATGAACCATCAACAAAAGCAGCCTCAAGTTGAAATGGAGTGCAGAAGTGCTCATCAGTGTAGCATAGTTTGTGTTTTACATTTTAGAGTAGGCTCCAATAGAGACCCAAAGCATTCAAATTATATAAAATGAATACAAAATATATGCATAGAGAACAATACATAAATACAGCAATACTATAATGCAGAATTATTCAAGCTTGTATTTAATGTGAAATTTCTGACTTGTCATCACAGAGAAGTCATATGGCCGAACTGTTAGGCTATGTTGGCTATTCTTTTGCTCTTCGTGGAGTTCTTTTGCAATCAAGTTGCTACCACCATTAACAATATATCACAATTAGATATATATTAGTCCACGACTTTGATAAAGTCCTAACTCAGGCTAAAAAAACAGCTCCTCAGTGGACCAAGACGCTTCTAACATATACATATTTAATACTGACCCTTAAGGTACCGAATATGCTTTTAGCATACTAATCTTGTGGCTATTACATGTATATATTTATTTAGTTATTTTTATAACACTTGGAGTTCAGATGAACCTGTGTTTGGCTTCCGTTCTTTCGGCAAACTCAGTTACAGGCTTGATAGCTAACTGTGCCTCAATACCTGACTTCCTGCAGAAACCCACAGAACAAGAGGATTTAATACAGAGCTGTGGCACTCCTCTCCAGAGGGGATTACTGGAGCAGTGCTGTGAGAAATGGACACCCCCCCACCCCCACCCCAGCACAGCTATAGCCAGGGCTACCCTGCCAGCACACACTCGCAACACATCTGCAAACAAGCATTGCAAATTTGTATATAAACTGTTATTTTACTCAGTCGTTCACATCCACTCACCTCTCTTGCTAACTTCGCTATTGTCCATTCAGGCTCTCACACACAAACAGTAAAACACTGCATATGAGGTTATTTTTATGTTTCATATATAGTACACAGTGTATTTCTTACTTGCTTCGCTGCCAAATCATGCATTCTCTCTTCATCAGTTCCCTTGGCTCAGTTTTCAAACCACTGCACACAATCATAGCCACTTCACACTCAGTGACCAGAAGAATACAAGGGCTTGTTTAGCCTAATGGAAGCCAGGGCAGTCTCTGCGCAGTAGTTTGTGAAACTCATTGTCATCTTACGTTGTTTTTTTGTTTGTTTTTGTCATATAAAAGCCAAAATTGCTCTGTTCACTCATATATTTTTTATTTCTTTATTTCGCTAACAAATGGATAATGTCACAGTGACTACATTTGTCTCTCTATATTGCTAAATGTCTTATATATAGTCTATATGTGCTTACCAATATCTGTCACTGACAACTGCTACACCATGAAGACTTTCATTTTAGGTTAATGAGTTCCTTTTGCAGAACGTGATAAGTATAATGTTTTTGTATCTGCAGTTTGCAGTATAAGAGGGTTGGGCAGGGTAAAGGAAAATAAAATCTCCTCCAAAGAACATTAGGCTCTTATGTACACCAAGGTCATGGTCAATAAATTGAACTGAAGTTCAAAGTGTTAATGCTATGGTGATCTAACACCCTGTTTCTTACTGCCATTTTTGTATTGACAATATATAAGCATATAGGGAATAATATATAGGCATTCTAAGCTAAATTATGTTGAACCTCTGACCTGTTCTTCAAGGCTACACGAGGTCATACTTTCATAAAATATCTTTTCTTTTTAAAATTGTGATAAAATTCTACTGCCCTTGTTTGAACAGGCAACATTTAGGAAAGTATACTGATATATGGGGATTCTAGATATCACATTATAGATTGCATTCAAATATCATGACCAATGATCTCACTTTTACACTTTTAAGTTTAAGTTATTCATGTTATTTAAAATGAATATATACTATCCATTACCTACTCCTGCATAATGTTTGTGTAATCATGGTAAACAGCCAACATACTACCCTTGCTCCATGCTACTGCACCCCAACCTTCCTCAAGTTTAAAAAGAAAAGAAAACAAATTATATATATATATATTGCACTTATGATAATGTAATAACAATAATGTAACATGGTTAACACTATCTGACTTTACCTGTGTCTTTACTGCTCCATAAGCAATGCATGAAGGTGAGCAGATGCAGGAAGATGACACTAGTGCAACTATAACACAGCAGCAGACAGTAGCCTAAAGAGCCTAGCGCAGATAACTTTAAATGAGTAACTACATTATATTTGTTTATTTTCTAATTTGGTTTATCTTGGTCTGTCCTCATGTGATTCTACTTATAAATTTAAATAAAGTAAATTAAGAATCTTATTTATTTGTTGTGTTTTACTCTAGGAAAGCAATATCTAAAGTACGCCTGGTGTTGCCTTACTTTGCCAATGTTCGAAGCCAAGGTTTGAATTAGTCTATCCCT